CCCCAAAACCCCAAAACCCCAAAACCCCAAAACCCCTTATAAATTACACTCAAAATTAACATAATAATTTCCTTTTACCCTCTAATTTTCCAAAATGGAGACCAACAGCAGCTTGTCTACCGACTCAGTGCCTTCAGCAGCCTTGCTACAGCACTTGGATGAGTACTTCCCCAAGTTCTCACCTGAGATCACCAAGATGATATGCAAAGCGCATGGGCTCTCCACTAAAGACGAGCGCGTGCACGCGCTCTTCTCTATTGTAGTGGAGATCTTCCTTGATAAACTCTTCTGATCTCCGAGTTCCAGCTGCATCTATGATGTTGATAATAGAAACAAGAAGGACTTGAAGACCCATTTGATCTTTAGTGAGCTCGTCGAGGTGCTTAAGGATTATGATATTGACACGGAGTTTGTAAATAGATTCCATCAGCCTAATGAAACAGGGTTCGAACAGTAGAAGGTAGGTAGTGGGGAAGGATTTGAAGGGGCTTATAGAATAGAAAATTGAATTTTGTATTAAATTAGGGGTTATAGATTTTTGAGAGTGAAGTTTGAGGTTAATTATGTTTGATTTAGATGAGATGGGAGAAAAGCAAGAAAATATAATTTTATTAAAAAGATAAGAAGGATGATTGTGTTTAAAAGAATTCAAATATTTAGCAAAGAGAGGAGATTTTGAGTTTAAGAAAAAGGCTAGCGAATAATTAGAATTTTTATTGTCCTTTAATCTAATTAACTTTCTTCCCAAGTACTTTTAAATCAATTTCTTTGAAATTTACTGTTCTGGCACCCAAAGAACAAGAAATTCCACTAAGAGGCCCAAAAGGAACAATTCCTCTCAAATCCCTCCTCCTGGCCCTCTTCCCTTCTAAACCCACCTGCTTCACAATTTCCCAATCTTCCCTCTTAAACCCTCCCTTAACTCCCTACTCCACTCCTCCTCTTCCTAAACCCACTTACCAATTACACTTCTTCTGCTTATTTCCCTCCCCCTGGCCTCTTCCAATTTGGGGGTCCCAATAAAAGACGAAATTAATAAGTTCAATTTTGGATTCCACCAAAGGGGTTTTGGGGTTTTGGGGTTTTGGGGTTTTGGGGTTTTGGGGTTTTGGGG